GACGGTTCGGCCTTTGAGGGCCACATCCCGTCTCTAAGGGCGGCGGGATGGGCTGTGGTTGTTACGGATGGGTGGGGGGGGGGTTCGATCATGCATTTGGGGCACGGTCCCCTCGTCCGAGGCGCCGCTCCAGGCGGCCCGGGATGGCGAGGACTACGCGGTCCTCCAGCTGGTGTTGAACGCGGTTGTCTTCCCGGGCTGCCAGCTCCATATAGATTGCGCCGGCACCGTTGACTGCGCCCGAGACCCTAGGTCCGCAGCCGGACCCGACAATCCACGGGCCCATGGGTGGGCCCAAGTTTTTGATAAGCTCGACGGGGTCTCCATTGTCAAAGTCCCTGCCCATTGCAAGGAAGATGATGTCTTTAATGGCAAGCTTACCCGTTGCCAGTGGCTCGGCAACCGCGCGGCGGACGAGTTCGCCCGCCAGGGGGCTGAACTGCACAGGTGTGCTGCCGCCGACCGTCTTGTAATTCTTGGCTGTCACGAGATTGCCAGGCAGGCTGCTCGATTCGGAGCCCGGCAGGAGGCCCGGATAGCTGATAGCCAAGTTTTTGACAATGTTCCCCTCGACTTTCTAAAGCATGTTGAGCTCGGGCCCTTCCTCCCCGTCGGGGCCCTGGACGAGCTTGCCGAGCTCCGTGCTAAAGATGAGGGTGGTGGATCGTCGCGGTCGTCCATTGTTGTGTGTGGGGCGGGGGAGGATGACGATCGCGAGGGGGCGCCGGCAGGCGCGGTGCTGGGACCCGCCTTGCTAGGCGCCCCTCCGCCGCCTAGCGAAGAGGCGTGGGGCCTGCTCAGGCCCTGGCGTGCCCGCGGCCACGTTTGCCTGGAGGCCCCGGTGACCGGACCGGATGGGTCCCCTCAGGGATCCATAGTTTTCTGCACGAGTTGCGGTTCGGTCGGCCACCCAGGGCCGTCCTGGGGCAGGAGTGCTCTGGTGTCGAATTGCCTTGATGCAAGCACTGAAGGTCGCGAGAGGCAATTGGCTTGGATTTTGCGTGGCAAACACCCGTCCCGAAAGAACGGGCGTGTGGGGGCGGCCGCTGCCCTCTGTGAAGCTTCTCGGGAGATCTTGGCCGCGAAGCTCGGTCTTGATGGCGCACCTCCCCTTGGACCCCCTCCCAGCACGGTTCACGGGTGCGGGGTCGACCTCGTTAGGGGGCTCGCCCTTTTTGGATTCCCCTCCCGCGCCGAGGCAGAGAGCCTCGGGCAGCGGGTCCTTGATAGGAGGAAACGCGAGGCGAGTGCCCCCGAACTTGGAGAGTTCGGCGAGGATTAACTCGTTTGCTTGTTTTTGCATGCCGAATTGGATGGCCTCCTCGGCTGGCTGTGGTGCCCCTCCTCCCCCTCCTCCTCGTCCTCCTCGTCCTCCTCCTCCTCGTCCTCCTCCTCCTCCTCCTCCTCCTCCTCCTCCTCCATCCTCCTCCATCCTCAATAACTATTCCTCCCTCCCTCCCTCCCTCCCTCCGCTTCCACAGTTACACAATATGAAAATACTCTCCCACTTCCCCTGATGGCGTCCCGAAGATGGCCGACCCCCCCCCCGCGTATTGTTTTTTACACAGGATTCCCGGGAAACGGGTTTTCGCTTGCGTTTTTTTCAAAATGCTGCTCTCGCTGAGGCGCCGGCCTCATTTCTGCTCCCGAATCGTTCCGAATCGTGCTCCCGCTGCAGCGTGGGCCTCATTTTCGGATCGGTGTTTGGCCTCCGTCGTTGAGGATGGCGTTCTCGCCCCAGCGCGGGCTCCACCATCTCCTCGCGCGCCCATTGCTGTCGCCACCGCGGACCACCGCGCCGCAACACCACCACCATCACACCACCACCACCACCACCACCACCACCAACACCACCGACCACAATCACAACCACCACCAGCACCACCACCACCACCACCACCACCAGCACCCCACCACACCACCACTACCACCCACCACCACCACCACCACCACACCCACCACCTACCACCACACCCACCACCACGACAACCACGCACACACGCACGCACGCACGCACGTGCACCACCACCCACTACGCACGCGCGCGCGGAGCCACAGGTCCGCTACGACACGCGTCCGCGGATAGAGAAAATCAGCGCCATGGTAAGGGATGGGAGGGAGAGGTAGGACGTCAGATATGACGCGAGCGCACTGCTTGTCCCCCCCCCCCTCCCTCGCTCCCTCCCTCCCTCCCGGGGCGACCGGGGCGGACGGGAGCAGGGCAGGGAAGGAGGGGCGGGGATGGCAGGGGGGCGGATGGGGCGAGGCAGCGGAGGGCGCAGGGGAGCAGCGAGCGGAGGGGGCGGGGGCAGCGGACAGGGGCGAGGGAAGAGGGGCCCCGCGGCAGGGAACGGGGCCCGGTGCAGAGAGACCTCGAGGGCGGGCGCCCGGAGGAGGAGGAGGAGGAGGAGGAGGAGGAGGAGGAGGAGGAAGAGGAGGAGGGGGAGGGGAAGGAGGAGGAGGAGGAGGAGGAGGAGGAGGAGGAGGAGGAGGAGGAGGAGGAGGGGGAGGAGGAGGAGGAGGGAGGGAGGAGGAGGAGGAGGAAGAGGAGGAGGAGGAGGAGGAGGAGGAGGAGGAGGAGGATGTGTGCAGGTTCCAACACTTTTGCAGCAGAAGGTTTGGAGTGCGGCCCAAACGGGGCACAATTCCGGCAGTTGTCAGGCAGGGGTCGGCAGCCGCAGCTCCACATGGCAGATCGAGCGGCTCTACCGCGACGGGCACCAACACCTCGCGAAGTCTCAAGGCCGCGGGGAGTTGCTTAGCTTGGAGTCCCCGACGCCGCTTCGAGAGTGGCCTGCAGGACGATAGTGATTGCACAATCTGCGGAGACCACCATTCTGATGATAAGCACAAGGCCTCACTATTGTCAACTATTCGTTCAATCTAGTCAGAGGGCATAGGGAAGGGCCCTGTAGGAAGCAACCTTCTAACCTACGGCTTTGGCAGGAGTATTGGTCGGTCCTAGGCAGTCGGATTGGCCAGATCTCTTAGTTTCGGGTCAAGCCGCACCTGACCACGTTCGCGGAACGGGCGGAGTATCCAGCTTGGGCGGTCCTTGCCAATGAGAAGGCCGACGAGCTAGCTCAAGAAGCTGCCACGCGAACCGCCGTACGCCCCGACTTGGCCCAAAGGGTCGAGGCTTTAGATGTGCTTGCGGAGCAAATCTGAGGGCGGCTCGCCGCAGTTCTGATGTTGTGGTGGACGCGCTATCCAGTCCAGCAAGAGGCCGCCACCTCCAAGAGAGAGAGAGAGAGACGGCGGGCTCGATCGGAAGCAGCATTTAATCACTCTTGGAAAGCACCTCCCACTGGCCAGTCCTTGAGGGCGAGCTTGTCAGGTGCAGCAGGTGCCCGAAGCCACTCCAAGCCTGCAGCCAGCAGGGCACGAGCGGCAGCAGTCGTGATATGAGCCAGCCGAAGGATCAGTCCGCCACCAGTTTTTGCGGACAGATCGATTCACGGCCAGTGGGGGGTGCGAGTAATTCGGACGGAGGCTCGAATGTCCACCCCGGCCACCAACCCCACCTTGCGTTCTGTCGGGGGGTCTTGTGGCGTCGGAGGTCGGAGGTGTGGGTGCTGGAGAGTACGGGCCTCCCGCAAGTTTAAAGAAACCTGCCAACCCCAATCTCACAAGCCAGAGCGTGGGGCGCAAGGCAATGCATAGGCTCTCACAAGAGAAGCTCCCCCCAGGCCGCAAATAATGGCCTGCGGGGAGCCTGTGAGCCCAGGTTGGGTCCCCTGAGTGCGCAAGGATCGAGGACCGCAGATCGCAGCCGCTCGCGGAGGAGGAGGAGGCCGAGGAGGAGGCCGAGGAGGAGGAGGAGGAAGAGGAGGAGGAGGAGGAGGAGGAGGAGGAGGAGGGAGGAGCAGGAGCAGGAGCAGGAGCAGGAGCAGGAGGAGGACGAAGGCCGTTCTGGCACCACCCTGGGACCAATTGCTCCCTCGTGAGGATGCCCAGGGACCGGCAACAAACAATTCAGCATCAAGAGAAGCTGGCAGCACAGACGAAGGCAAGGATCGATCGGCAATGACAAGGCCACCTCGCGGGAACCCCGCGGCATGCCTGGGAGCATTCCCGGGCACAAAGCAGCGTCAGCCAATTGGAAGAGGAGATGACGCAGGGCAAGAGCAGGCTCCGAGCACTGCAATAAGCGCACCTTGCAACCCCGTCTGGCAGCCCATCCCGCCCCTCCCTGCGCACCCCGCCCCGCGCATTCCACCCCACCCCGCGAAGGAGAACCCCATCGCACCCCTTGAGCGCTTGTTTGCAGCATGCAGTGCCGATTTCCAGATGGAAGTCGGTGTCAGGAAAAGCGTTTTCTGAGTTTGCTGCGGGGGAAGTCAAGGCCAGGCTGGCCCCACCCCCCTCACCCCCTCCAGAGAAAAACCGGAGGCGGGTGTTGGGGTCTGGACCCCCCCGCGGCGTTGACCGACTGGCCCACGACGACGTCACGTTCAGTGACGACGCGGTTTCCAGGGTTGCAGGGCCAGAGGTTGCGACACTCGCCGGCAGCCGACGAGGACGAACAACCCCAGGGGGGGGGGGGGGCGGTTGGACTTCAGTGCACTCATCCAACGCGCAGGGAGGGGGGGGGGGGGTGGGGGGAGGGGGAGGGCTTCTTAGCAAGCAGCCCTGCTTTTCTTTAGGAAAGCCCTCCCCCCTCGCCCCCCGCACCCCTTTCCTCTTCTGCGGGCGCCGCCCATGGACCCCACCCCCCCCCCTCCACGTCACCCACCCCCCCCACACCCCCCGCCCACCCCCACCCCCCCCCCCCCACCCACCCACCGCCCCCCCCGCACAACCCCCCCCACCACCCTCCCCCCGCACCCCCCACCCCCCCCACGCCCCCCTACATCCCAGCCCCCCCAACCCTCCCCACCCCTCCCGTGCCCAGGGAATCTTCGTTGGGGGGGGGGGTCGGGGGGGGGTGGGTGGGGGTCGGCGGGTGCTCCCGATATATTCACTTTCTTAGGTGGGGAGGGGTCCCCCGCCGCGGCCAGGACGAGTTCTGCGAGGCGCTCGGGCAGCTGCACGACACGGCGGGCCGCCCCGCGCCGCCCCGCCCCGCGCGCCGTCCTGTCGCCCTCTTTTTGGTTATCCCCTAGGGCTCGTCCTCGCCGTCTCCTTCCTCCTCCTCCTCCTCCACCTTCCTCCTCGCCTTGTCCTCGCCGTCTCCTTTCTCCTCCTCCTCCTCCTCCTCCACCACCTTCCTCCCCGTGGCCATCCGCCCCGCGCGCCTTCCTTTCGCCTCTTTTTCGTTGTCCCTAGTGCTCGTCCTCGCCGTCTTCTTCCTCCTCCTCCTCCTCCTCCTCCTCCTCCACCTCCTCCTCCTCCTCCTCCTCCTCCTTCCTCTCCGTGGCCATCCGCCCCGCGCGCCTTCCTTTTGCCCCTTTTTTGTCGTCCCTAGGGCTCGTCCTCGCCGTCTCCGTCCTCCTCCTCCTCCACCTCCCTCTCCGTGGCTGTTTTGGCTCAGGACGCAGGCTTCCACTGGGGGGCCAAGCGCATGCCTCTGACCCGAAGCTGGACCACTGACGTTCTTACCTCTTCGACCCTCGCGGCAAGCTGCCCTGCTGCCGTGGGGTACGTTCGTATTCAGCTCTCTTCGGTCACCCGCGGCTGCGGGTAAACAAAGGTTTTTCCAGTTCCTGCAGCCGCGTGTGACATAGTTGCCTTCGCGTTCCTTTACATGCTCATCGCCTTCGGCACCGCCTGATTCCGGGGCTTTGCCCTCTGTTGGCCTTGACGTGAGGCCCCTCCCTCTGCCTTCCCCCCTCTGTCAATTAAAGCTGTGCGCGGCCCGCTTAGCTTCGACCGGAAGAGGTGCGCTCTCGACCCGCGGATCAAAAACATGTGACATGGTTGCCGCTGGCGATCCTGACCTGCTCGCCGCCTTCGAAGGCGCCCCTGCCTCCCCGAATCAAAAGCGTGCAGCCGCCCGTGCAAGCGTCGCCTTGCTGCTGCTGCTGCTGCTGCTGCTGCTGCTGCTGCTCTCGCTCCCCCCGGCAGTGAGGACGGCCCTACGGATGACGACATGCGCTCCGATGAGTTCGTTCGGCAGCTTTGCCGTGACGATCTGCACCCCATGCTTGATGCCCTCTAACAGCAGATCGCCCACGATTTCGGAGCGACGGTTACGTACCCCCATCGTGGCCACCGTCAACAAGGAGTTTCTCACCTTTGTCGAGTCGCTGCGGGGCGAGATCGCGAACCAGGGTTCTACCACCTGCCAGAGCATCATGTCCTCAGGTCGCCTCGAGCTGGGTGGCGTCATGATCATGTTTCAGGCTCCGATGGGTCAGCAGCAGCACCAGGCTTCCGCCCACGACCAGCTCCTTGCCCAGCACTCGGCCCAGGTCCAGGAATTCCGCTCGCGCATGGATGAAGTTCATCACTCTTTCGCTTAAGCAGAAGATCGTCCCCGTCACCCCCTTCAATTTCCAAGGGGTCTCGACCGCGATATCGAGTCCACGATCGTGGTCGCCGTCGTTCGAGAGCCCACCTCGCTGGCTGCAACTCAAGAGTATTGCGAGTGTTCTCCAACCGTGCCTCTAAGCGGTGTACCATCGTTTTTTCGGGGCTCGCCGGTGTCACTGTTCGCAAAGTCGGTAAGGTGCCCATCCTTTAAAGCGGGAGGTCTCGGAAAGAGTCGTGCGCGCGGGCGCGGCTGTGGTGCCGGAACCACACGGCGGGGGGGGGCGTCACGTCATACTCCCCCCCGCCCTCTCCCCCCCCCATGACGCCCGTCATCGCCGAACATACAGAAACGCGCTCATGGCGTTGTGGCTGAAACACATATCTGGCTTACTTGGGTCCCTCCGTCTGTCTCCTCCTCCCCTCCCTTCCTCCTCTCCTCTTCCTCCCTCCCGCTTCCCTCCCTCATGCCGCGCCCCCCCTCCCCCTCGCTCCGGCATCCCGTGACCCGTGCAGGTCAATTCCCCCCCCCCCTCGAACCATGAGACGTGTGGGCAGGGCGAGCGGGGTGTTTCGCTTGAGACGTCCTCACCACCTGTGACCCTGCAGCTCGCATTGTCCAGCAGCTTCAGGGATGGAGGGGGATGGCTCTCGCAGTCGGGCTCTCGCGCGTCAGCGCCGCGCGCACCCGTCGTCAGCTCTTGCAGCCGCTACAGGGACAAAGGGTGGCTGTTGCCAGAAGGGCTCCCTCTTTAGCGCCGCGCTCATTCGTCTTAACTCGGCATCGCTCGGACGTGTGCATTTTTCCTTTGGCGAGGACCATCGAGGAGCATCCTTGATCATTTGGCGAAAAAGGCACGCACGAAACCGAAAAAAGCACACGGAATGGACGTCCGAGCGATGGCCAGAAGGGCGGAGCGGGGTCATTTTCACAACGGGGTGGCGCCGCGCGGGAGTGCTCACGGCGGGCGTGCGCGTCGCCCGGGCGGGAGCCCCACTCCGAGCACGCCGTGTGCTCTGTCAGTTTCGAATGCTTGATGCTTGGCGGCAAGTGCGCGCTGCGCCAGGGGGAGAGCCCCATGTTGAAAACGATGCGCGCTCCCGTGCAATCGTCGGGGGCGTTGAGGTTCGAGGTCTTACGTGGTGACAGCGTCTCAGCCGAGCCCCTGGCCCGCCTCAACGACCAGTCTTGGGGTGCGACAGGGACGGGCTGTCTATAATGCGACGGGGACGGGCTGCTTTAAGTCACAGGAGTGGATGAGGAGGATGAGGAGGAGAAGGAGGAGACGGAGGAAGAGTCAGGAGAGAGGGAGGAAGAAGGGAGGGAAGAGGGAGGGAGGAAGTGAGGGAGGAGGGAGGGATGCGGGAGGGAGGAGGGAGGGAGGAGGGGAGGGAGGGAGGGAGGGAGGGAGGGAGGGATGGAGGGAGGAGAGGGCGGAGGACGTGGCGCAGTGCGCTGCGGAGGACGTGGTCGAGGGTTGCCCGCCCCCCGCGCCCAAAGGTGGACGCCCAGTGGAGCGAGGGCGTGAGGCCAGAGGCCGTGCAGGCGCGGCTGAACGGCGAGGGGTTGGCCCTGCGGCAGCTCGACGAGGCGCGCGACGGCGACGCCGACGGCGACGGCGACGGCGACGGCGGCGGCGGCTGCGACGACGACGGCGACGGCGACGGCGACGGCGACGGCGACGGCGACGACGACGACGACGACGCCGACGACGACGACGCCGACGACGACGACGCCGACGACGACGGCGACGACGACGACGACGACGACGACCTTGACGGCGACGGGGGCGAAGGGCAGAGGGCTGTGTTAGGAGGCCAGGTCTGGGAGTTTCTGTTGGGCCCAGCACGTGTTTCAGAGTATGACCCGATTCGGTGTCGTAGGATCTGATGGCTGCTCAGAAGTGGGCTCCAGTGGGATATGTTTGGTTGGGGTGGGGGGGTAGTGGGATATTTAGTTGGGTTGCAAGCTGGACGTAGCGGGCTTCAGTGGGGGCCCATTACATGTCACTAGCTAGGAGCCCGTGCGACTTCGTGAAGCTTCCATGCCTGGCCACCCAAGCTTTCGACGCTGTGTTGTTGGAAGGGGGTCAAGTCTTGACTCTCTGAGCAGACAACGGCCGACAGAGAGAGGGGCCGACGAGAAGGACCTGGAAATCGAACGGAGGCGGGAACCGGGGTCATGGACGCTTCGGAGGAGAAGAGAGCACCTCCAAATTTTGAACTTCGAACTTCGAGGATCGAGGCGCTGGATCGTTTGTGGCCCTTCTTGGGCCCCAGGGCGCGGGGGCGCATCGTTGCCCTTCCTGGGGCTCCTGTGGGCGGGTCAGGACGACACGGATTTGGTCGTAACGCCCACGGTTTCCAAAGGTGCCCAAAGGTGTTTCCAAGGTGCCCAAGTGTGCCGTTTTGGGGTTTGCTTTGCAGCCTGAAGCAGATCCGTGTCCTTATGTTTGGCATCACCATACCTCGGTGACGATCTTTAGGAGTCCCTCAATTTCTGATGGTTTATCCCTAAGAGTGCCCTCGCCTTGGGCTTGCCGATCCTAGGGATAGGGATAAATTTGATGCTGCTTACTATTGCAGGCTTACTTGGGCTATTGGAGGACTCTATTTGGGGGCCCTCGGACTTGATATCTCGCGCCCCTGGGGAGGGCTTCTGGAGGGTCCCTCGGAGCCCTTGGGTTCTTGGAACCGTTTTGGGCGCCATGTTTGCTGAGCTCTCCCGACGATGATCAGCAGAACGATTTGAGGAGGCTCTCTGGCTGTGTTGGGCCGCCTTGGGAGCGTATTGGGGCGCTTGGTGGCCATTTTGGCGCGTTCTGATGCCTTCCTGAGGCCATCTAAAGGGGAGACACATTCATGGAACCTGGTGACTCAGAATTTGTGGCCTCCCAGGCCCTACCGGGTGGCCTTTTTGTATAGCTTGCTGCTGGTCCTGATGCTGCTGCAACTTACGTTCCTCTCCTCCTTCTCCTCCTGGTCCTCCTCCTCCTCTTCCTCCTCCCCCTCCTCCTCCATCATCCTCCTCGTCCTCCTCCTGGTCTTTATCGCCTGTTTCGGGGACGCGTTCGGGGGGCCTGTGCGGGCCAGGTCCAGCCCAGGCCCACCCAAGTGACTGATCTGGTTCTGCCCTCACCGGGATCGCTGATGAAGACAGTTATCCCCCTCCCCCTTCCTCTGCCCAGTCACCAGGTGTTGCCAAGGGTGTCCCCTGCCCAAGGTGTCCCTGGGATCCCTGGGGAGGCCCAGATGGCCTCCAGAGCACCCCTCACGAGGCCCAGAAGGCCCCAGGTGCTCCAGCAGGGCGCGAAAAGCTGGGGACTGCTTGGGCCAGGACCGCTGTTAGCAGCGCCTCCGCCTCTGCCGCCTGCACTCTCCCTGCCCCGCCCGTTCCCTCTTGGGTCGGAGGTGTCCGCGTCGAGCGGCAGCATCGCCGAGGTGTTTTTCGGGGAGCTGGAGGACGGCACCGAGGCCTCCTCGTCGTCGTCCTCCTCGTCCTTGGCGGTTAGGGGGAGGAAGAGGATCTTCCCGTAGGGATCATGCATGCCTTTGGTACCCAGCCGCTCTCTCTTGTTAGGATCGTCAGCTTTGTTTGGTGATGGCGAGGGGGAGGCAACTGACGAGTGATGCGAAAGAGCGTGTTCTACCGCTGCTGGCGGAAAACCGGGGGGGGTCACTACCGGTTCGAACCCCTCCCCCCCCCCTCCGGAAAACCGGGGGGGGTCACTACCGGTTCGAACCCCTCCCCCCCCCCCCCCCAGCTCATCATGAAAAGGGGGGGGGGTCACTACCGGTTCGAACCCCTTCCCACCCCCCCCCCTCGAAAACCGGGGGGGGTCACTACGGGTTCGAACCCCCCCCCTCCCCCCCCTCGAAAACCGAGTGGGGGTGCGGACAGTGGTGGGGACGGTGTTGGTGGGGACAGTGGCGAGGGGATAGCGGGACAGTGGTGGGGACAGTGGGACAGTGGGACAGTGGTGGGGACGGTAGTGGTGGGGACAGTGGTGGGGACAATGGTGGGAACAGGGGGGGACAGTGGACAGTGGTGGTGACGGTGGTGGTGGGGACAGTGGTGTGGGGACAATGGGAATGAGGTGGAAACAGTGGGACAGTAGAGGGTACAATGGTGGTGGGGACAGTGGTGAAGGCGGTGGCGAGGACGGCGGTGGGACAATGGGACAAAGGTACAGTGGGGACAGTGGTGGGGACAGTGGGGACAGTGGTGGGAACAGTGGGACAGCTCAGTGGGACAGCGGAGGAGTCAGTGGGACAGTGGGGACAGTGGGGATAGTCGGGCAGTGGTTGGGGCCGTGGAGACAGTGGGGAGAGTGGAACCGTGGTGGGAACAGTGCTGGGGACAGCGGGGACAGTGCGACAGTGGTGGGGCCACTGGTGGGGACAGTAGGGCGGTGGTGGAACCAGTGGGGACAGCGGTGGTGAGGACAGTGGTGCTGGGAACACCAGTGGGGGATGTGATGCGGACGGTGGTGGGGACCGGGAGTCGTTTGCTGGCGGTGAGTAGGGGGGGGGGGTCGAACCGGTAGTGACCCCCTCCGGTTTTCCCCGGATCGAAGGGTAAGGGAGAGGGGGGGGGAGAGGGGTTCGAACCGTAGTGACCCCCCTGGTTTTCCGGATCCGGAGGGGGGGGGGGGGAGGGGTTCGAACCGGTAGTGACCCCCCCCGTTTTTTCGAGCGGAGGGGGGGGGGAGGGTTAGGGGAGGGGGGGGTTTTGCCGGGGGAGAGGGGGGGGGAGGGGTTCCAGCAGGGGGGGGGGATTTTCGGAGGGGGGGGGGCGACCCCCGGGTTCCGGAGGAAAAGGTTGGCAATTTTCCACAGTAAAGCGGCGGTGGATCACGCTCTCTCAGCGATGCGGATGCTTGTGATGGTACAACCTAACGTGGACTACCCACCTGACGTCTCCAAGGCCTCGGAGTAGTGCTGCTGTTTCTCGTCGGGCTTGTCGCAGTGGTGTTGCTGTTTGCGCTGGTAATCCTACTCGTTGTGCTGCGGCTTTCTCTCGTGCTGGCCACACTGGTGCCGCCCGTGGCGCTGGTGTTGCTGCTTCTTCGCGCAGTGCTGCTGCCTCTGGTGGTGCCCGTCACAGCGGTACTGTTCCGTGCGCTTGTGTTGGCGCGCGTAGTGTTGCGGTTTCTGTGTCCCTGGGAGGAGCACTGCCCTGGTTGCGACAACATGTGTTACGCCAAGAAGAAGCACGACGCGACAGCCACAGGCAGCGACAGCAGCGTAAGCCTGCTGTCCAACTGGCCAGGCGAGGACGAGGACACTGCCGACGAAGCGGACGGCCCACGCATGGCCTGGCCCACATTGGCCCACCCTCTTTGGCCCATCCACGCATTTTTCTCCGAGAAGTCCGGCACTCCCCCACGGTCTCTCACAACAAAGGCAGAGGAGGCGCGCGCCATCCTCATGCCAAGATGGGAGCTGCCTAACGGAGGCCCACCAGTGTGTCATCCCGACCATTCAGTTTGCCATTCTTGTTCCAACGACTGCAGACGATCGAACTCTCCGACGACGAAGATGGACACCACCAGCTTATCCTTTCTCATTTCCGACCTCGTCACTACTCTTGTACCACGCCGCCGCACTCACTGTGCCTGCAGCAGCAGCAGCAGCAACAGCTGGGCATCCATCGCAGTCTCCAACCCCTATTTTCATGGTGCTGACAGCATCCCCGCCTCTCTTTCTAGCACATACGGCGGCGCTCACACCGCTCACCGAAGGCGGCCGCCGTCACTAGACTGCGCAAGCCTCCCGTGACCCGGTGGGGAACCCTGAGAGGCCCCCAGCTCGGCCTTTGGCACTTGTCGCCCGTCTCGGTGGGTGAGGATGCGGGGGCTCGAGCTGGGGGCCACGCCGTGGGGCTCCCCTGTGGCGGTGGGAGAGGCCCCTGCGCCTTCTTGTGTTGGCGAGTGCGGCCGCCCGCGACGCTCGCCCTGCAGCCCTGCTCCCAGTACCAGACTTGTGCCAACCTGCTGCCAGCGCCTTCAGGCACCCCTGTTCTCAGAGGAGGAAAAGTGACCCATACCTCTACCCTTCGCCCGTTTTCCCGTGTTTGGGCCTCCTGGGAGGCTTGGATTCGCCTCGAACTTCTGGTCAGAACGCACCCCGGGAGAGGTCCGGGGAGTAGCGGTACAGTATCGGTACCTTTTGGTTTCCCCATGCTCAACCAGCGAGCTGCAGCGCCACCAGCTCACTCTTCCGCCTCACATCCCACCCTGCATCCACGCCCTACCCCTTGCTCCACCGCCGCACTAAAACGGCGGGGGACGGATCACACACATGGAGGACCCGAGTGCAGTTGGCCGCTGGCCGTCCCGGCGTTGGCCGGGGCGGCCGCCCCGCGCCCGGTGGAAACCCTTTTGGCGGCCACCGGTCCCTGCCTCGGAGACCCTTCGCCCGCCTCGGCGGGTGAGGGCTCCCTTGGTGGGACGGTGGGCCGTCCTAGGAGCTTCTCTTTTCTGTTGCGCCCTCCCGCTCGGCGTGTGTGGCCTGGCCACGATCGCCACCAGCACGCGCCGCAAGCCACCATGCCCGCTCAGCCCACCAGCGCCACCGCACCTCCGCCCGTTGCCAACGCCTGCAGTCGCCCCTTCCACCCGCCTCTTCCCGCGTCACATCATGAGCTCCCATGGTCCTGCTTCCTCCCCCCTCTCCTCATCGACTGCTGTTGAATGTTACTTATTAAGCAATGGTTACTGTTGGACCCCCCCAGGCGCTTTGGCGCTGTCGCCTTGGCGCCGGCTACATTTTCATTGAACATGAGGCTCATGCTCGAGCGGTTTGGGGGGGCGCCAAAACGGCCCCCAAACAACAGCAGCAACAACAACAACACCAACACCAACAACAACAACACCAACAACAGCAGCAACAACAACACCAACAACAACAACGCTCCCGCTCGAGATTTCCTCCTTTGTTACTCAGGGCTGGTGCTCTTGCTCGCCACCGGAAGCCGCCGTCCTAACAAAACCAGCGCTCCCGCTCGAGGTTTCCTCCCGTTTTACTTTGGACTGGCGCGCTACTCTTTCTCTCATCGGCGCCGCCCCCAGCAAAAACAACTCTCCCGCTCGAGGCTTCACCCTTTTTTACCCAAGGCGATGCTCCTCCTCGCCGCCGAAAACCGCCGTCCCTACAAAACCAGCGCTCCCGCCCGAGACTTCCTTCCGTTTCACGCTGGACTGGCGCCCGTTTCTTTTTTGAGTAGGCGCCGCTCCCAGCAAGACCATTCCCGCTCGAGATTTCCATTTTTTTTCCTCGGGACGGTGCTGTTCCTCGCCGCCGACAGCCCCCGTCCCAACAAAACCACGGCTCCCGCTCGATGATTCCTCCTTTCTTACTCAAGGCGGTGTTCCTCCTCGCCGCCGAAAACCGCCGCCCCTACAAAACCAGCGCTCCCGCCGAGACTTCCTTCCGTTTTGCGCTGAACTGGCGCCCTACTCTCTTTTGAATTGGCGCCGCTCCCAGCAAGAACCACGCTCCCGCTCGAGGCTTCCTCCCTTCTTCCTCAGGACGGTGCTGTTCCTCGCCGCCGACAGCCCCCGTCCCGACAAGACCACGGCTCCCGCTCGATGCTTCCTCCCTTCTTATTCGAGGCGGTGTTCCTCCTCGCCGCCGAAAACCGCCGCCCCAGCAAAACCAGCGCTCCCGCTCGAGGCTTCGTTTTGTTTTACGCTGGACCAGCGCCCTGCTCTCTTCAGCATTGGCGCCGCTCCCAACAACAACAGCAGCCCTGCTCGAGACTTCCTCCCTTTCTATTCAGGGCCAGGTCCTTGCCTCACCGCCGACAGCCCCGATCCCCACCAAGGCTATTCTGTCGCTCGATACTTCCTTGTGCTTTGCCCTTGGCTGGGGCTCCACTGGCGGTCTCGCATCGGCGCAGCGGGGCGCGGGCACGTGTTTTCAAGGCGGGATGTGTTGAAATTCCTCGGAGGTTGGTTTGCAAGACTTCATTGGGCGGGAGGTCTGGGAATGGCAATCACGGGCCCCGCTATAGAGCAATCATCCCCCCATGATGGGGATGGTTATCATGATGGTCGCATGCTTCGTGTGGAAACATCGCGCGTGAGGGTAAACTGATTGTTGTTGTTGCTGTTGCTGTCGGTGTTGTTATTGTTGGTGTTGTTGTTGTTGTTGTCGTCGTCGTCGTCGTCGTTGTTGTTGTTGTTGTTGTTGTTGTTGTTGTTGTTGTCGTTGTCGTTGTCGTTGTCGTTGTCGTTGTTGTTGTCGTTGTTGTTGTTGTTGTTGCTGTTGGTGTTGTTGCGGTTGTTGTTGTTGTTGTTGTTGTTGTTGTTGTTTGTTTGTTGTTGGTGTTGTTGTTGTTGTTGGTTGTTTGTTGTTGTTTGTTGTTGCTGTTGATGTTGTTGTTGTTGTTGGTGTTGGTGTTGTTGTTGTTGTTGTTGTTGTTGTTGTTGAACATTATTACTTCTAAAGAATAATCATTGTTGGGACCC